GTCTCAGTGATTGCAAAATTTGTCACTTTGACAATCGTAGTCTGAAAATAGGAGAAAAACATTACATATATATCTACAATGGGAATAAACATGCATTTAAATGGCACGGAGAGGGCTAGTACTCAAATATCAAACAGAAATAAGAGACATGGAAACATAACACTTAATATTAGGAAAACACTCTGAGCCGATACCTACTACTAGGCAATTAAATGCTATTCTAGTGGAAGTTTCAGAAAGACTTTCTGAGACGGGTAAGATTCGGCTATATGCCAGTCTTGTACAGGAAGTTGCAGAAGCAATATGAAAACTGGGACCAGAACAGAGAAAACGAGCCAGGAAGCAGCTGGACTTAGAAGATCCAACAAAATTTTGCATCTCAGAAATCAATATTTATAAAGGTAAACGCTTATAAATTTCTTCCTGGTGGAAAGCCAGTATTTTGAGAGAAATGTGCACTTACTTTCACCTAAAACTACGAAATAAAAATGAAGATGGAAATAATACAGTGGTATCAATCAATATATAGTAACAACCCCAACTGTTCGTGAGTCTGCATTGAAATAAAAATTTTAGTGTCTTTTTTCCTCCACAAGCCTCATTAATAAAAAATCACTAAACCTATTTCTATAGGAAACATAGGAAAAACCTACAATTGAAGTGGTCATCAATTCTATCACCTTAGCAACGTTGTATTCAACTTCAAGTAGTACTAGAAATTTAAAGTATATCAGAACCACTGGTTCATCATCAAAAAGTCACTGCAAACAAATGCATATGTTTAATTTCTTAAAAATAGTAAAAACCCACATTTCTCTGAGCATCTATTTATATAAGGAGGATGGAAACCACTGCAGTTCCATTCTACCAACCTCTAATCAAGAGACAGCATGCAGTAGCAGAGTATTCCCACTACAGGGATGTCTCATTGGACTGAAACCACAGCTAACCATCATCATCAGACAACATCTCCTTTCTACTAGGAACTACTAATGGCAAACCACCAATGTGTCTCTATCGGTCCAGAAGGCAGTAATTTAACATATCATCTACTTTATATGAATAAACATTTCACTCCTCTTTACACTGGACACTAAAAGAAGAAAACTCATCAAGAAAGATATGATCCAATAAGAATATCCTAAAACAGTTCAAACAAATTGGAAGCGAATTGGAGATACTAAAAAACATCTTGCCTCAGGCTGGTACCTTCTATTTCTTCATAGCCATTTCCAACACCCTCTCCTACAGGGTATAAAAACATACATTGGTTTATACTGCTTTTATTTTTGAGAAATTAATTTACACTGTATGGATTTTCCCTAAATGTCTTTTGAGCATTTCTGAGCACTTTATGGATGGACCATTCCAAAGCCATATAAACACTCAATGCCAAAGCAAAGATAACAGCTGTAAATCTTGATGGCTCTGTTAGAACACTTCAGATCAGTACTGCTTGGAGCACTCTGAAAAGTACAGGGTATATTTGAAGCTGCAGATACATAGGAGTTTAAGAAGGCCAAAAGACGTAAATGAGGCCAACACACTGCAGGTTTTGTTGGTTTCAGTACAGTTCAACAGCAGTGTTGAGAAGTATCACTGATTATTATAAGGCTTTTGACCAAATAACAGTGCAGAAAAGTGTGTTTAAGATATTAGCATGTAACTCAGCAAAATCACAGCCAAAGTTGCAACGCTGTCATATGTAACAATATGTTCCAATAACAGTTTTTAAATCAAATCACTTTTTTTCTTTTTTTTGGATTTGGCATTTTTTACATTTAGACATAATTGCATCTGGTTTCAGCAGACTACCTTTAATAACGGCAAGAAGTACAAGGAAAACAAAAAAAAGCAAAACTATTAATAATTTATGCTCATAAAATTATTTCACTTGGAAAATCCTGAACAGTGATTAATTTAGCCTCACAATACCCCTGTGAGGTAGGTAATTACTATCAGGCCCATTTTACACGTAGGGAAACTGAGGCACATACAGGTAAAGTAACTTGCCTAAAGCCTGGGTACAGAATCCAGGTACCTGACAGCCATCTTCTGGTTTTTAGCCATCAAATCACCCTTCCTCACTAACAAATTTAACTGGTATATGTACAAATACTGCATTTTAGATACATATAAAGGATAAAATGCTAAGACCTCATGGATGTAGTTCAAGAGATTCGAAACCTAGCACTAGTGAGACTTTTCATTTAAAGACAAAGCAAGACACCACGAATGGGAAAATGGCAACGGTATTTTCTCAGTTTTAAAATAATTCATTTTAAATTATTCTTGCCAGGGAATCAAAGGCCTCCTTTATTATCTGCTGGATATTATTAATACTTTTATGGCAATACTGATAACTCTTTAGAAAACAGTGTTTTTAAGACATGACAAACCAACCTCACAGGAGTGCTCCATGAATCAAACTCGTAAGCATCGAAAAACATTATTACAGGCACTATATTGTGTTAAGTGTTAATTAGAGTACCAAGCGGTTAAATATTCTACAGTGTTCCAAAAGACTCCTGTTACCAGAGACACAAATGACCCTGTATTAAATGCATTAAAGTAGCTGTTAAAGCATAAATAAAACGTGTGACCTAGTTCCACCAGCATGCTTTGCCAATCAGACGAACTGTGGGAGAACAACTCCAAGCTAGAACTTCCACACCATCCCTTGTCCATGAGGCTAATCTGCTGCTCACCTGCCCGATACAAATAACCCACTTCAGATTCTTTTCATAGGAACAAGCAAGCTGTTTGCAATATGATTTTATTCTCTGTTCCAGCTGATTTCCACTAGAAAAAGCAGAAAGAGCTGGTGAGAACAGAAAGCCTCTGGTGCAACGATCCCAAGAGTTTCCAATGCACAGCACATTTTGTATTTGCACTTCTGTCTGTTCAAGAAACCCAGACTCAGATACATGCAACACCTTGGATTTCTACACAGTCTGGCAATACAACAGTCAGCTAGAGCATTGCTTCTCTGTAAATTGGTTTTCATGGCACTCTACATATGCAGAAATTTTAGAAGAATTTTTGAAATTATTTTCCTGAGCAGTTTGCAAGTGCTTTTCAGAATCTTCACTTAAACATTTCCATCTAGTGCTTTACAGTAAGTTTATAATCTAGATTTTCTTGTGCTTTACACGTACATCCTGCGGGGTTTGTGAGAGCCTACAGTACTACACTGAAATATTACACCGCAATCCGTTACATCTGATGACAATATGCTCTAGGACATCCACAGCTACATGGAAGAATGACTCCAATGCATACAATAATTTTAAGACAGTTCTTTTCTGTCTTACCAGCATTCATTATTTTCTGTTTGTTTATTCGGAAAGATGTAGTTAGCTATCTGTATCCTCTTAAGCAAGGTGGTGTGTGAGCTTGCCACTAGCATCAGTATGACATTCAGCTCTTTACTCAAAGAGCTATTTATTCTCTATCGAAGGCAAAAAGTGAAGAGATTATATAGGTTTCTGAGACAAGCATCCTAATTCCAGGCAGCTGTGACACACAAGATGCCAGATGTTTAAAATCATCACACCACAGTCCATTTCCTACAGGGCTCCACAAAACACAGGGAAAAGACCAGTGGGGTGTGGATTTACAGTGCTGCTGCTACCGTAGGGATGCAGAGGTTGGGACAAGGAAATTCTGACCCAACTCACAAAACTGGGATTAGGAAACCCTGACCTGGCTCACAAGACTTTCTGCAGGCAGCTCCTTCAGAAGCCCCACCGTCCTCCCTGCAGAAAGAGGGGCCAGTGGTGGTAGGGGCTGGGTGACACCCTTTGGTGATGGAACAGAAACACGAACCCCTGAATCACAGCCCACCCTCCTCACGGCCCTCTGGATCGCTGAACCAACCCGAGTGGAAAAGGTCCAGTCAGAGTTTGCCTACCCCGGCCTGCAAGGGCAAACAGCCAGGGAAAATCCCAGAGAAGGACATGCAGATGGCGGTGCGCTGCCCAGTCCTGCCTGGAGGAGAGCTCTGACCTACCCGGCACCACTGCCCTAATGGCAAGATTTTAAAAAATAGCCATACAAAGAAAGTGACCTAAAAGAGGTATTTACACTCTCTGGAAAATTAAAAAGAGACAGGCCACCAGCACAGGGCTTTACAGGATAACGCATCTGGCAGCTGCCATCATCCTAGAGGTGCTTGCTCAGGAGACAAGAAAACAGTAACTGAAATGACTGTCCACAAGTGAAGGCACCTGGTCTGGAAATAGCATCAAGCTGGTGTTTTTCTTTCACACAGGGTGGGATTGGGGGAGATACTGGTGCTGTTGGTTTGTCAGGACTTGCTACACTTACAAGAGCATTATCCTATATTATAACTTAATTAACACTTTACTTCCTTTAATCCACGGAAGGGGCTAAGCCTAAATTCATTAGATTGTCTCACACATGTTGAAGTTAGGAGCTTGTATCGACTAGGAGTGCATTTGTCTCCTTGCTCAGTCCCCTCCCAGTACACAAACACTTGGCCTCCTAAAAAAATGTCATTGTGATCAACCAACCATCTGTTCTGGTCTAGTCACTTGTGTAAAAATCACCTTTTCAGGCCGAAGAGTCCAAGCCTTCCACTGAATACCTCAATTAAAAATATAATTAAGAAGTTACAGTCAATCCTTCTAAAAATAAACATAAAGAACTAGAGCATATACAGAAAAGAAATAAGGTGGCATTGAAGGTGCCTAGGGCTACAAATTTGCTACCATAGCTTGAGTTTCAATCGTGACGAGTTCCCAGGCCATAGAGCGAACACAAGACGTATTATCCTTCTCCCTCAGTAACTGATGATGGACACTTTTTTCCACAGGACCGATAAGGAACCTCCTCTCCACCAGCATTTACAGCCATATTTGAAATTTTGTGACATCCCAGGGAAAAATAAAACAATACAGAGAAGAGTCTCTCGGGTTTTGTGTTCAGCTGTAAATATCAGCTAACCAGGTAACTGTGCATCTCTCTGGAGTTGATGCTCAAAACCACGCCTGAGTGATTGCCTATGAAAATACAGAAACAAAAGGCCAGGATTAGTTTATTTCAGGCACTTCACAGTAAATCCCCCTTTTATTGCAGGGACAAGTCAATCACGTAAAGAGAGTGCTTTTATCAACCAACAGATCAGGTGAAGGTTTGGTGCAACAGCTCCGTGTACCTACAGCATACTTTCGTGCAAAGCTTTTGCTCATGGTGGTGGTTTTGTGGTGAATTCCTAGGGTTTCTATCCCAGTGACAGCATAAGTTGGTTCTCTTTGTGGCTTAAAAAGGTGTAGTTGTCTCGAGGGGTGCAGGTGAGGGAGGAGAATGGAACCTGAGGCGTCCATTCGACATGCCACTGACCTGGGACTGGACACTGACCGGCATCAGCAATAGGGGAACTCTGTAGCTGTTCAAGCTGCCACTTCTCCCAGAAGGAGTCACTGCAAGGTAATGGTGTTGAGGAGTCCCAAGGTGGGGGTTGCGATAAAGTAGGCAACATAAAATATATAGAAAACAAAAAAAGTGGATGGGTGAGTCTGGAAATACTGTACTGCGGAAATTCAAAAGTTATGAGAAGAGAGAGAACAAACAGAAACCCAGGCCTGTAACTCCCTGCTGTGCATGGAGCAGAGGCTGCTGCCGACATCTCCCAACAGGGAGGGAGACAGCTCCCCAGAACTAGAAGGGACTTCTATAGCATAGGAACCTTCTGCAAACAAAGTCGTAAAACAGAATTTAATATAAAGCAGGGACTATAACACGTTTCATACTCTAGCCAGATAAAATAGAGGACTATCATTAACAGGAATATTTTCTTGGCAGTACTGAGCGATACAGGAGCTAGTGGAAAGTATTGCAAGCAACAGAACAGTACAGCAAGGAGAAGTATAGTTTTATGTCTTATATAAAGTCTTGTGTCTAAAAGCTGTACAGTAGCTGACGAATATGGATGATTATGATCCACAGAAATGAACTCTTTACATTCTGCTGGAAATGCTGCCGGTGTTGACAACCTGCAGAAGCACAAGTCACCTCAAGATCTACGTTTGCTAACTGTCTTCAGTTTCATATCAGACATACTGATTTTGCACTCTTTAACCCTTATAATGCTCTGCCCAGATAGAAGATTTTTTTTTTTCTCTCTGAGTAAGGAGTGCAGGGCAAGTAGAGATTATTTATGAATGTGCTACAAATCAGGGTAGCGCTTCTTTATTCCAGCATCCCAAGCTGCCTTGTATAAATAGGCCAGAAGTGATTGGCTACCATTAAAAGAAGTTATGTTTTTGTACATTACTAGATGTGTTTGAATGCTCCACTTCAACAATCTGCAAAGACTTTGTCAGCATTCAGCCTTCTCCTCTAAAGACCCTGGAGATGAGCAGATCAAACAATTTTAACACAGACTTTGTTTTGCCAGGGTTGTTTTTGGAACTATCTCCAGTAGAGTCAGGAGTGCAATCAAGGTCGTCTTGCAAAATCTGAATGAAAACACAGTGATACTCATACACAAAGGTTGTCAAAGAAAAGACAGAAATACACAAAGCAAAGCAGGAGGCTGGATTCTTCCCTTGTCCTCAAAGCTAACACCTCCAAGAACCTAGAAGCAGCACACAGTTCAGCAAATGAAAATAAAAACATTGAGAACAAACAATAAAGGTGAAACCCAAGATAAAGAAATCTCTCCTCTGCCAAAATTCTGTCCTTCCCCAGGCTACATACAGTGCAGCAAAAACACATCTTCTTCTGTGGGTTCATGCAGACATTACAGTTGCCTGTTACGCCATGAATCTACTGCTATAAATCCCAAAGGCTTTGGGTTATCTGATGTATTTCACAAAATGTGGAGAAATGGAAGTGGGGAGCTTTGTCCGTTGTCCTACACTTTTCAGCCTGTGACCTGAAAGCAGTCTGAACACAATGGTAAATTTTACAAGAAATGAACTTTATAGATCAGCATTCTGTGTTACATTAAAAATAACCACAGGGTGCCAGGATATACACCTCTATCTGACACTGGAATCATTTCCACTGAGAGACAGGCACAGCAAGTTTCTCTCATGGGTTCCTTATGACCACCCCAAGAATACTAGTAAGTTACAAGCTAAAACAGGGAAGACTCATGATATTTTTTATACAGGAATAAATTTAATGTTTCTAATTATAAAAACTTTAAATGCTACTGGAATATGATGGTAAATATAGCAAATGGATCTAGATAAAATCCATCTGAAATCATGGAACACTGACTCTACAAATCTTTCTGGCCTAAACTCCATTTTTCACTAACACAGGGCATTATTCAGTTAATTCAACTGTTACCTATAATATACTGTTCTACCAAATATAAGTACTCTCTAAAATTGTCCAAGTAAGTCTCCTGACATTAAACTGCACTGTCTCTGTACTCATGCTGTATATGGCGTGCCATCCATACATTAGCCTCTGTCACAAACAAGCCAAGAGAAGATAACTGAGATAATCCTCTGTTGGCAGTGTACTATTTGCTTCCTCCTGAGTCGGAGCAGAAAATGAAAAATAAAAGCTAAAATGAAAACAAGTATCATTTAAAATTCAATTACTTACGAAAATTTATTAACTAAAAATGAAGTTACCTCTTGCGTTACCTAGTGTTTGAGAGTCCAGATCATCATCAATAAACTCCTCACCCTGGATGATGTTCTGGGTGTCCTCACTGTGATTAACAGGGCTTGTCATCTCCTGCTCTTTTTCATTGTGCATCTGGGCATAGACGTTTCTGCCTGGCAGTTTCCTAAATTGGACAAGGAGAAGAAGTCTTGTGATGGAGTTCCTTTGTGTCACACACACACACTGGCATCAGAGCAGAGCTTCAGCAGAGCGAAGTTGCATCAGAATCACAAAATAGCACCAATCTCACCCTTCCTTAATTTTGAGGTCATGACCTAAACTTATCAACTCCTTCTTTTCAGTCCCAGTTTTATGTAACTGCCTTATCATGATATTCAGACCAACATAATAATTAAGCATTAATTTCTTGACTAAGATTGATATACAATGAACAATACTAAAAAAAAAAAAAAAATTAAAAGCACAGAAAAGATATATTTAAGAACTGAAGCAATAAAAAGGCCCAACAGGCATTCATTGCTGGTTCCAGGTGTCTTCACAAACATCAAGCTGGGTCACAATCACCATCTCTCATGAGACCCCACCTGGAGGACTGTCTTCAGCTCTGGGGACCCCAGCATAAGACAGACATGGCCCTGTTGGAGCAGGTACAGAGGAGAGCCACGAAGATGATCAGGGGCTGGAGCACCCTCCCTGTGAGGAAGGGCTGAGAGAGTTGGGGTTGTTCAGCCTGGAGAAGAGAAGCCTGCAGGGAGACCTTATTGCAGCCTTCCAGTACCTGAAGGGGGGGGCTACAAGAAAGATGGGGAGGAACTGTGGATCAAGGAGTGTAGTGACAGAATGAGGGGCAATGGTTTTAAAATGAGAGAGGGTAGACTTAGATTAGGTATTAGGAAGAAATTTTTTACTATGAGGGTGGTGAGGCACTGGCACAGGTTGCCCAGAGAAGCTGTGGCTGCCCCCTCCCTGGCAGTGTTCAAGGCCAGGTTGGATGGGGCTTTCAGCAACCTGGTCTAGTGGAAGGTGTCCCTGCCCATGGCAGGGAGGTTGAAACAGGATGGTCTTTAAGGTCCCTTCCAACTCAAATCATTCTATGATTCTATGATCATATCTCCCTGGTGAGGTGGGCTGGCACTGAAGGTGGGTGACAGCATCAAATAGCACTCTCATACTCCGTCAGGGTTGAGGAGAAAGAAGCAGCAGAAATCCAGGAGACAGGGAATGGAAAGAGAGCAAACAGTGAAGATCCAGGAGGCCAGGAGCAAGGGGTAAGGAGTAAGGAGGTAAAGAGGCATTGATAAGGGCAAATCAAAGACAGGGAAGGTTAGTGAATTTAAGCAGGCAGCACTGCAGGAGACAGAGTAAAAGGCTTGGCCTGAGACTACTGGAAATTGATGAATTAGACAAAACTTTCTATAGCAGACAGCATTTTATTCATTGATTCTGATTTGAATCTAGAAAAACAAAAAGCATGTCACTATCTCTATCAGCTCTAACGGACAATTAGCACCATGGCTGAGCCTGGGAAGTTTAAAAGTGGGTACTGATAAAGAGTTCTTAACTGGGTCAACTTTAATTAGACTTTGTAAAATCAAAGGGAATAATGAGGAACTTCTAACTTTGTAAAGAAATTACAGTTTGAACATTTCTAGAAAGCCATATCATTTGTTGTAGCTGCATTCACCTGCAATCTGCCTGGGCACATAAGGACGTCCTGCCCTAGGCACCAAGCAGATGCTTCCGATTAGGGAGTTACAGGTTGTGAGCTCTCTTTCCTACACTGCAAGAAGCAGCTTGACAGCTTGATCACCGTGACAGCAGATCATGGCTGTCAAAGAATCTTAAACACAGATAATTGCAACGAGGAGACAACAAGAAGAAAAGAGAAAAATGGGGCTGAACTGCTTAGGTTAAGCTGTGGTTTCTGCTGAGCTGCTTTAGATAGTGGGAAGACAGAAAAAATGACACTAATTTTTTTAGGCTTCTCTCTAAAAACGACCATCTTCTGCTCCATATTCTGGCAGCAGTTTGAAACCTGGAGAAATTTATACAACAAATTGGTACAACCAAGATAGATTGCTCTGTTTTCTCTAGGCTTTTGAAGATGACCTGTCTTTAAATCTTATTTCAGAAGAAAGGTTCTTTACCAGGTGGCACCATCTTAGTTTGAGATAAAAGTTGCTGCAGTGAACTATTTTGAACAGCACTTTCCATTGCATCAAAGTAACTAGAATAAATAGAAATCACTAAACAATGAAAGGTGACTGCAGGTGATTTAATTTGAGCTATCCAGGAGATGAATTGCGTCCTATATACCTATATATGTACACACACAGAGACACCCCTGTACAGGTATGCGTATATACACATACACATAAAATTACTTCTATATGGAAATCAGGTATTTTATCTCATTATTTATAAGCAGCACAAAGCAAGGAATCTGATCGCTCTTGCTTTTTTCTGTATCTCAGTGAGCATGGATTAAATAAAGCACAGGACTAACCAAATGCAAAGGACAAGGACAGAAAGAAGGTCTGAAAGCACAACATTGTGCTATTATGACCACTTTGACAGGTTTGAAGGCTCCTCCAACACAAACACACACACAGCGCCAAGCCCTGCATCACTCCTCCCATTAACTGGATGGAAAAAAGCCATGTTGAAAGGGGGAAGGACATTGCTCATTACTAGAACAAATACATTAGGTAATTAATTTTGACTTTTTTCTCTAGGGCCAGTAACTCCGGCCTGTTTTTAATGCGTCTGCGAATGAAACTGGTCACGTGGAAAACAACATCCCTCTCAATCAGACCTGCATCAAACCTGTCAAATTGCTCACTTTCAGTCCACGGCCAAATGCCTAAGGAAAACAAAACCCAGACAAACATCTTTGAAACTCATCTGCAGAATCAGCATGTATGTTTCTGCAATAATTAGGGGACCTTCTCAAAACTGTATTTCTGGCATTGCAGAAGCACCAATGGCATTATCAAAATATTTTTGACAATAAAAGTGGTATCCATCTCAAACCCATACGGCACATCAGACCTTTGCAGTTAAGTAAAGAGAGCAGACCTACTAGTATAATTGTTGTCTGCCCAGGCTGAAGGTTGTCTGAAACCAGGTCAACAAGGTGTGCCCTTTGGTGTAAATGGTATGGCTTCAACTCATGTCTCTGGTAAGACTTACTAGTTAGAGATCGCCACAATCACAACACATACTAGTAAACATGTTAAGAGGTTCCTCACTGAAGAAACCTCACAAGTTCACAAATAACCATTAAATATATTCTTGTTATGAGCACTTTTTTATGGGTTATGGAAAAAAGGAGAAAAGGCATAAGCTGTTATTCCTCACTCACCTAAACCTGATGAGCGCAATCCTGCTACATGCAGATCCTTCATGGAAGGCATAAAGTTGAGATACTCAGTGACTCTTCCACACTTTCCTTTGCTCCTCACACTTACAGAGGAAAGCATCTTAGATTGTAACATGGAGTATAGATGGGAGGCAGGAGAATATTACAGGTCTTGTGAAGGCAGATACTGTAGGCGTTTGACCTTTTATACATTATAGAGTTCTCTACGTGTTTCACATTGGTTCAGTTTTACAAGGAAGAGATTCAACCAGCCTGAAGAAAACAATTGTCCAAGCCTTTTCAAGAGGCATTTTTAACACATGTGCCAGATGTTCTGTTTATAAGGGACAACCGCACTGTGGGATGAAACAGGATGTGGATACCAAATCCTTGCTAAAGATGGGCATGATTCTGGCAATTTTCCAGTCAATCCTAACTGCTCTAACATGTAGGAAGTTGCTACCCCTAATTATACAGAGAGAAATGCTTGTGTACCCTGATGTGCTTTGCTCTTCTTAAGGAAGCAATTTATGTTGAGTCCAATGTAACAGTTTGAAGTAGGCAGAGCTGAAATGCTTGGGTCTACATAAAAGACTACTGTGAAAACATGACAAGACATGAAATTTGACCCAAGAGATTTGTATCAGCAGTACGAAAAGTGAAAGCACATTTTTAAGAACAGAGAAAATGATCACACTATAGTTTCTTTTGGGGCTTTACTCTTCATCTGCAAAATGCATGTGCTTCGCATTCATCACTGGAGACAATTACCTCTGCTGAGCAGCACTCTATGCTTTACATTTTTAGTTTCTTTTGTTTTCTCTGTAGCATTTTATTTCAGTCATGAAGAAGAAATATTCATGCCTGCATTGAGGACCATAAAAATATGAACTGGAGACTTAATTCTGCACAGAACTACTAAAGAACATCACAGTACATGGCTTTCACCAAGCTCTCCAGGTCCTACACCTTTTAGCAAGTATTCCAGAAAGTATTTTTTTTTCCTCCCTATATTCAGAAACTCTACTCAGTTCATACTCAAAACTGTTCACACTTAAAAATATTCAGCAGTAAGGAACAGCAGGAGAGGAATGAGATATTGATTCCCACTCATTTAAACTCTCTAGTTTATTTGGCTTTCAATTCCTTCCTTGTGGAGCCAACATTCATTGGCCTCTACGCAACTTCATTCATATGGCAAAGGTTTGATTAAGTTTCTGTTTAGTAGAAAAAATAGGAACATATTCACATGGCAAAGGATATGAAATAATGTAGCATTCTCTTGGAACTTAAATAAAACTAACAACAATAATAATCCATTAAAAAGAATACTTTATTGTGGTGTTGGCTCCATTATGTTTGGATTAATGCTCAGATGACTGACTTCATCGTGCTTTAAGGCACTTCTGATTTACTTGCCTCTCTCATTTTGAAACTCTTTTATACATGCTATTATTTTAATTTCTGAGGAAGTTTTTATGAAATACTATGGATCATTAAATTAGTGCCTGTTTTTTAAACTAAATGGTATGGATTGGGACTAAACTTGGTCTCACGGAACATAAAAGTAGTATAAGCAAGGTGAGAAAAAAAGATAGCTCTTCTTCAGAGACTGAAAATGAGAGAATAAGTCAATGAGGCAGAAAGATAACACAGTTCTGCTCCACACTGTGGAAATGACCCAGGAGGAGGTTCGTTTACCAAAAGTGGCACTTGACAGTACCCAGGAGAAAAGGAATATGCACAAAATGGTACAAATTTGGCGGACGTAGATTCACGGAGATTCGTGAAAACAATGTATGCAGCTTTAACAACATTGGCAGTATTTTGCATACTAATTAAAAGATGAGGATTTTCATACTCTTCTAAAGAATCGAATTTGCTACTATTAACCAGGTAAAATACTAAAGCAGAAAAGCCAACTATTTTCTCTGGTTAGGCTGCTCTAGTATCCTGTTGTTATACAGAAGTCCAAAATAAGAAAAGGCTGATTCCAGATCTTCCACTAGTAACATAATGATTAGATGGCAGCTCTGATGTGGCTAAAATATAATTTGCCTTTTGTCCACTTTGCCTAGTGCAGATAGTACTATTTGCCTTCTCTATACTGTTGCCCAGGACCCCACACCACAGAAATCTGCTCTGACAGGATAAAGAAATCTTTTGTGGATGGCAACTCAAAAAACACAAAAAAAATAAAAGCATTGTTTCAAAAGGGAGTGGAAGAAGCATTCTTTTACCCAGCCAAAATTTAGTTAAGATGGTATGGTATAGAAAAAAAATATATGCAGGTCCCAGATCCATGTTAAAAATACAGACCTGCTCAAAAATATGTTCCAGCTGCTTCATATTGTTCTGGTCAAAAGAAGCAGCTGTAGTCCATTTTACCTGGATGCTTAAACAACTGAAGCGTACTAGCGAGTATTGTAACGTATTGCTTGCTTGAGGCATCAGATCGGTGATTTCCACACTCAGAAAGCAAGAGCAAAGAAAAGGCAAATTATTCTTGACTTGCCCGACATCCACGTTCAGTGTCTTCACTGCCTCTTGTGCCACAGCCAAAGCCAGATTTAGCAGCTGGGAGATTACCTCTCACTCCTTGCTGCCATGCTGAAAAGTTCGCCCCCAACCTATCTAAACAAATCTTTGTTCATTTGTGGGATATGACTATAATTAGTTTTTAAAGCCATCAGCATTTTCATTTAAAATTTACTTTTCATTTCCTTGGTAAAAATAGCCCTCATCTGAATTGCTTACCTACTCTGATCACAAAAGATCAAAACCCTGCGTGTCTGAAGACTTTTTGGCTTTTTACTCTTTTTATCTAAAGCAACTAATCACTCTCGGGATTGCCTGGAGTTGCTCCACGAGCTCCAGGGACTCCAGCACCAGTTTTTCGAGCACATATTTCTGGCGAGAATTTGCTGGATGCAGAGACGAAATGATAAATGCTTGCAACTTTACTGTATAAAAGAAGAGAGGGCAGCAGTCTTCCTAGTCAGTACTGAAGTATTTAGGATCAGGGTGTATCAGAAACGATGTAACCTACAGTCATCTAATCATTAACTAGACAGCCATGACAGCTCTGAGTATGCAAGCGGACCCTACAATTTTAGTTTTGATTATACTAGCAAATTATTATTATAAAATTATAAAGTTTTAATCTTTTTTTTTTAATGGCCATGCCTTCAGGAGTGATGAGGCAGTGCTGGATTTTACTGTGCGTATAACTAATCAGCCAAAATCCCACTACCTCTCTATGAATCAGCCTCCGTTTTTCCCCTACCCCCCTACTTAATTAGGTAAAATACTCTCTTCATTTTCTGCACGAGGCATCTGACACAGAAATTTATGCAGGATTGTTATTTTTAGATTAGTTCTCTCCCTCAAACTAATTTTGTGAGATTTACTTCCTTCAAGGGACACCAATTTTTAGCACTGGGTATTGCAGTTTTCAAAAAATGAGAAATGAAACAGGAGCTGCAAGTTTCATCATAGCTGTCCTGTTTGGCCTGAAAGATTTGTTAAAAAGATGTATTAGATTAACCTCGATGTCTTGTCAACACCGCCTTTCATCTCGCAATTCTGCCTGGCAGAAATCAGTGTAAATTAAGACCAAAGTTCTTACAACCTGAACTTCAGAAATAGTCTGGGCAGCGAGGGCAGGTGACCATGCCTGGGGACAAGGGGCCTCGGCACTCATGAACTATCAGACAGTTTGGGCAGGTTTCTCCATTTTCTGTTGAACCTGCACTATGTTCTACACAGAAGTCCATTTTCTCTTTACTTTTCATCACAAGTTCTGAACAGTGCCTCTGCTTGTTGCAAATGGATGAAATACTCCTACGTAGGAAACTATAACCTGCTAGTCAGTCCAGTCACCATATGATCTGCAAGCCAGTCTTTCCATCTTGCATCTTTCCAGGTATCAAACTTAAGTAAAGAACTGTCCTTTGGGCCAGCAGAGAGAAAGTCAGAGTGAGTAGTCCAAGGCATGTCCACACAATCTTTTACAGACCACCTGCTTTAGCTGTGCCCCAAATGCCAACTGCAAGTCCTATAGACCCAATTAGTGTTGTGATAAAACTGAGATTAGTAACCTTTTGTCTGACTCGGGGGGAACAGAGTTTTAGCTCTTTTCTCAAGGGAATATCTGACTATCAACTTATATAAATGAAAGGAAAGCACCACCAAATGTCTTCCATCTCCTCCTTAATTTTGTGAATCATACATAAAAATTATGGACAGTGTTAACATTTCAGCACTTTATACATGCCTGTAATTTCTATGTGGAGATAATTCATATTTATATTTGCATGTGTTATCTGAGTTACACAGGTCCCAGAAAGTATTCTGCTGAAATTATCTCCTAAAATTGAACAATTTTTGTTGCCTATGGCATTCTTTCAGCAAATTAAATTTTAATATACAGGCATGAAATATCAACAAGCTGTCTTTGTGCATTACAACCTGCAACCTTCATATATAAGGGACACTCCCTTTCACAGTCTCACACGCTATGGACCAGTTTGTAAACTTACGTACTCACTGTACTGACTTTAAAGGGACTATACTTGCAAGGAAGTACTCCATGGGGATCCAGAAATTCAACATCTGTCTTTATAAGCACAAGAAAGACTTTTCTTAAGCAATTAAAGATTTGGGTGGGACAGGAGTTCACAGGGAGCACATGGGGAAAAAGTGATTTTTCAAAAATAGCACTGATTAGGCACTGAGTATTCTTTGAAGATCAAATTGCAAATGAAGGATGCAACCAAAAAAATTTGTCATCCTCGAAAAGCTTATCAGGAATATTCAAAAATAATTCTGTCCAATATCTCATAAACAGATATGATATGGACTAAAACTGAAAACCACTGCACGGTCATTCATCAGTGCCAAAAGCAGTTTTCAGGCTGCTGAGAAACATTTGAATACATCTCACAAGTCTCCTCACTCGCATCTAAATTAAACCCCCACAAAATTTAAATGCAAATGATTTTCACAGATTACATATAGAAGTGTGAGAGACATTAAAGCTCGCAAATTGCAAATTGTACTATAGTTTCCTCCTTAATAATAGCTCTATTTATAATACAATGGTTCGTTGGGCATTTTAGAAAGAACTCAAGAAAAATATTTTTTTCTCCCTTTCTTGAATACTTTATACTTATTTTGCCATGCAGTAGTTGTGTCTGTTATTTAATTGCTCTCATTTAAGAGATAATAAAAGATATAAATCATACAGCTTTCGAAAGATATCACAAGCAAGTTTTATGATCCCACACTATAAACAGCAAATTCTCCATGTATTGCTACTGAAATAGTATAATTACATCACATCAACCATTTTTATGCTTTTCCTTGCTGCAGGCACCTAAAATAGTGAAATGGATTTTTGTTCAGTTGTAGACGGTCTGATACAACATTCTGTGCTTTGTCCTTTGGAACAATTAGCCACTATGAGCTCTAAGAAACTTCGGTGCTGCAGTGAGAAAATGAAGAGATTTTTGGAAGAAAGGGGGTTTCTGTATTGACTTAAAATCTCTTTATCTGACCAAAATCTTACTGAAATTATATCTGTGGTTAATGCCATCACAAACTCAGTGCCACACCCATTCCTATAAACTTATGCTTATTTCAAATAAAAATAAATCTTGAAAAAATGAGACAAAACAATGGGAATCATCACTGAGTAAGGACATCAGTATTTGATGATGATGAAGGCTATTTTCCAGTATGCTCAAACCCAATATCTTCTAAATGCCCCAGAAATACAAAAGTACAAGGAGCATAGCCAATGATAACATGGACTCATGAAGAACAAAATTCTTTAAATTGTGCAGCACCCTAGTAGCTCTGATTAAAATCAACTGCAGACTAAAGATACTTTGGACTGTCAAAGGCGGGCATGGCATCCCTTGTCAATTTTGAAAATATGTCTCACATAAGGACCACTTCCAGAATAATTGCTCCCCTCAACAAACTCTTGTGTCAAATTCACACTAATCTATTTCCATCACTCGTTCTATGTGGCATTGCCCCAGCAATCAAAATGTAACGTCTGCAAAGAGAAACTCTAGAGCACTATGCATTTTGATAAAACTACTTTTTAAGCAAATCAGCATTGCAGATGCACTCCTTGTCCCAATAGCTTTAGTTTATTCATAACTACTAGAAGTAATAAGGTAGGAATTAATCAGGAACAATATTTCAGCTCAGCTCTGTTTCCTGATGATATTATTTGGATAAGCTGAACAAACTCTCCATAGTTCCCATATTGCTGCTATTTATCTTGGAACACAGCAAGTGAAAGCTAGCATCAGTGCAGTATCTTGATGTCTGAAAAGTTCGGAAAAACACGATTTTCAAAGCAGTGAACTCTTTGCAATTCTTCAAGAAATCTCCTTTTCAAATAACAAACTCTGTTTTGCTGATTTCTGCTAATCTAATTCTTAAACTGTACATGTTGTTGATTAAGGTTACTTGCCTTTTGAACTTGTAGAGGATGAAAGCCCCAACTGCGACTAGACAGATAACAAAGAGAACCACAATAGCCCAATAGCCACCGCCTCCTCCAATCCTCTGAGAGTCTGAAATATGAAATAAAAGAACAGCTTAGCACAACCTCTTTCAGAGCTTTCACATTCTTGGGCTTTCTTTTCTAATTGCCAGGTCAAAAACATTTGTTGTTATGTGTGTAAGCTCTTCTTTTCACTCCATCTGTAGCCCCTTCCAAAAGGCAGCAAAGTAAAATTAATTGAGGACTTGTGACTGAAAGACAGAGGACCAATTAAAAAAAAAAAAGCAAGACAAGCAAAACCTAAAATCCTGAAGATTTAATTATTTGCATACCCAGTGGGGTTTTTTTCTGGAAATCTAAAGTTATCAGAGGAAATGATCACATATCCTAAGCACCTGTGTTGCAAAAGCAGGACCGTATTAATTTCACAGATGGAGAAACTAAGGTTGTGAACAACAAATGAACTAATCCAGGTCACGCTGGTAAATGCTGGAATGAACATGGGCTTCTTTCAATCCCAGCCTTTTGTGCTGGCTAACATGCGTCAGCCCTTTGAACCAGATGAGGTACCACAGTGAAACTGTAGCACGATTCCACATTAGAGACTAGATAGCTTTGTCTTCTACAGAGAGCTGACAGATAAAATATCACATCAGTATTTACATAAATTGATTGTGGTCAGCTAAGCTGTTCTCCCATGACACATTGAAATAAGAAAGGATATATTATGAGATATGATAAACAAACAAAAATTGCAGGACTTTCTAATACAAGGTTGAAGTCAAAGTTGAACTTTCTAGTTATAACATCATTTTAATGTATCTCTGTTCTAAACACACACACATGTATGCACACATACTCTCTTCAACCAGTTTCCAGGTATGCAGTGAATCCAGACGTGCAGGAAATGCCTGCAAAAAAATTTGTTTCCATTTGTTTTAAACAGAGAAAAAACATATAATTTATTTCAGGACAGGATTAGGAATGTAGAGACCCTACAGCAAGCTTCATATCAGTTGATCTGAAAATCAGAGATGCAAGGCAGAGATGCCAGGCTATGTCCCAGACTCCTGGAGTTACATCTACAGAGTTAACAGCTGAAGTAAAGAAGCTCGGCTTTCTCGGCAGCCAGTGCAGCCAAAGTGCCTCACTAGATGGTTTATTTGAAGCCTGGTTGGATCCTCCTTCAGGGCACTGTTTTGTATAGTATGGGTGTTTAATTAATGTTATGGTTACACAGAAAAAAACAAGAAGCTTCTTAAACAAATCACGAGGTATGGCAAAATGGAAACATGTAAGAAATATTGATTTGGTGGTGACTGTTAACAAGTACCAAATGAAAATATATGCATATATACATGTGTGTGTGTATATATACATATATATATTTATATTATATGTATATATATATTTACATACATAAATATATATATACACTTATATATATCTATGTGTGTATCTATATGTAACAAGTACCAAGTAAGTCAATTTGTGTGTGTATATATGTTGGCATATTTATTGATACAAATATTTTCTCCTTAACTTATCAGAACTCAGACAGGCATCAAAAGGTTGGTCTGTTGGGAGCTTGGTTTATATATTTACCTGAACCAGAGTCAGCTAAAGTCACTAAGACCCAGTATCCTCCCCTCAGAAAGAAACTGATGTTGTGTGCATTCAACGCCTGCTTTATAGTCGCTATTCTCTGAAAATACAACGGAGAGAAAGTCAGACATCTCGCACTCTGTTCCACTTTGAGAAACTCAATGCTCTAAAAAAGAAAACCTCTGGTTCATTAAATGGTGAGAAACTCAGAAAGCATTTGTCAATCATGAGCTGAAATTTAAAAAATTACATATTTAAAAATCATGCAAAACTCCACAAGCCATAAAAGCTGAAAATGTCAAATCTTTATGGCCAAATCTTTCTTTCTGCTCACCAAAGCCTTTATGTTTACCCAGTATGTGACAGACAGCATGACATTTGCACACGCTGTTGGGTTTACCTTAGTCATAATTCACACAATGCATAATCCATATTAAAAACTCTCCATTCTTCTAAGCTACCAGAAGAAAACCTGTGATGTCTTGCTATGAAATGTAACTGCTATTTGAAAATGAACTGCACATCATAATTTACCTCACCTCCTTACCTATAATGGGATGGATTCCATTTATACCTAATTTTTAACAATACTCTGTAGCAATATATAGATCCACCCATGTGGAAAAAATCAGGATTCCTCCTATTTTTCTCCAGTGGATAGAGCACAGTAAAATATGGTCTCTCATATTTTTATGAAGCAGAACCATTAAATATACCATCATATCCTAATCCCAGATGACAAATTGTCTGAATGTTCCCTTCTACTTGCTTGTGTCTTCAACATGGGTAATTTTCTAAAAGATCAAAGCTAGTTTCATACTCTATGCCTTATAATTTAGGATACGACTTCCCACAGGATGCCAAATCAGAAATATGCTTTATATCCATGAAACCTTCACGAGTAACTCCTTTTATGATATTATCAATTATGGTGTTCATCTTTGACAAGCCTTTGCAGTGTAACAGAAATCCCTATAGTCTCTCTCATGTTATGGACAGAGACTACACAAAAGTTCAAGTTCAAATATCCATACTCATATTGAGGAATATCTAACTTCTGAAGCCATTCCACTGACTTTATTACATTTTTTGAGAGAGAATGACTCAACATAAGGGTGATGTGTGCATAGCCTCAGTTCTTTCACAAGGCGATTACTCCAGATAGCTCGTATTTATTTTTTTTCCCAAAGTCTGAAAAGAGAATGGATATGACAACTATATCGATCAGCAACCTTTAAAGTGATGCTGGCTCCACTGAAATAGAGTCACTTGGTCTCAACCCAGGTTCATTCACACATTCATGGTATACAATGCAAGAGGGACCAGTACTTTACGCTAATGTGACTTTCAGCCAGTAAATGAAATTACTGAGCCCCATAACTTTGGATACATCATATTTTCCTGGCAGATGTTTGAGGAATCCAACTTTTACTCTGGTTTTTGCCTAAGTAACTGACACTTGTTCGTTATTTCTCTCCCTGCCCCTGGGTTCCCACCCAAGAACTACACTTCCACTCAAATTCAAAAATTTGAGTCTCGTGTGGATCCAGCCAAAGGTTCTGGCTTACATATGTCATTGTTAGATTGATGGTTGTTTCAGTACTCATGTTTTGTTTTTTCTTTCTGCCCTGAGGTATTTATTGAGCACAGTGCTGTCACCTCTCCAACTCTTCAAAAAAACAAATCCAGGATTTGGAGCACCTCTCTAGGCTCTCTAGGTTGAGGTTCTTATACCATAATTTGAATTTTCTATTTTAATTTTCTACATCCTTTCTAATTATAAGATTTGAACATGTGAACACAATGGCTCCTGCACTGTCGTATAAGAATGCAAAAATAATGACACTATTCAAACTCTTACCCTCTTACACATCTGGGGGTCCGACTTGCCCTTTTTGCTGAAGCAACTCACTGGGAATTATCATGTAGTAGTTTGTCTAAATAGAGCCCCAAATATTCCTCAGATCCACTGCTTTCCAAGCTGTAGTTTAAATGCACATTAATTGACTCTTTCAACTGGACTTCTCCCACCTGACATTAGGCATGTAATAGATGTGCATAAATTAAGCAACCAAGTCTTCCTCTAGAGTCAATAACTAGAATTAAATACTTCTGAAATTGCTGTGTTCTTAAAATCAGGTTAAACCACACTCAGTTTTTATTTCTACATGCATAAATTTGAAAGAAAAAGGGCTTTTGTCAGAATAGAAGCAAACTTCAGAATTATCCAAAGGGCTCCTACTACTACACTGCTAACTTACCTATGATCTTTGTTATTGCTGGCTGCTTATGTCAGTAATGACTCCTACTCTAGACCACTAACTTAACAAATACCACCACATCACAACAGTGCATGAAAAACATCAACAGAAACTCCTCCAAGTAGGTGTTTGTCTGCCTGACCAAGAAATTAGTGCCTTTAACAATCCTTCTGAAATCACATAATATCCCAAATCTAACAGTTTTTCAGCCAAGAAGAAGTAGGTTCTCTCTAAGGGAAGACATTTCCTAAGTATGTCTAAGCTAAAGGTTTCAAGGACACCTCCTCCAAACATGCAGAAAACATTCTGCGCTGGTGAGTCCTCACAATAGTGTCACAACACTGACTTTGAGAACTGGCACTAGCAGCAGGACACAGCACATCCTTCCAGTGAAACATGATGAAGACCACCAAGATTCCTTCTGGGAACGGAAGAGAATGTAACAAATCTATAAATAAGTGACAGGAGAAACACACTAATACCAGTAATACCAGTAAACACTAGATTATACTGGTCTATGCGCTGTCAAACACAGCAGTCATAGCTGTTACTAGTTTTTACACGTCTCTTGTCAGGTGGGATTGAGATCTTTACATAGTTAGGGAGCACCTTTTAATTTCATATAAAGACAATGAGAGTACAGCCACTGATTGCAAAAGAGGATGAAAACCATCCTAACGAGACATACATGGCTCTGGTTACCTTATCGCTAGTTACACTTCTCTTCCTTTTTGGTTGGCTTGCTGGCAGTAGCACATGCAAGTCAGCAGTTGTGGGCAGACCAGGTTTCACAACAGTCATGAGTGTTTCCTCGGGTATCTTGGTTTCCTGTGAAGACAAAGGCATACGGCAAATTACAGGACAGCGTGCTTTATATTTTATAGAAAATACATAAGTAACTCCACATGTGTCTCAGTCTTTGGTGTTCAGATCCTTGCTATTTAGAAGGGATTCCAGCAGAAGCTAAAACATGAACAAAGCCAAACATAAATTAACTGAAATGTGAGCTGCTCTTTGAAGACTAGAAGAGCTAAGCATTGTTATCGCACTAAAGAGATTTAGTGGCAACATGGAAAGAAGCAAAATGAAGTGATATGCAGTTTTAGCAAAACTCTCAATGGCTGTGCACTTCTAGCGTAACACAGAAAATGTTCCTAAGTGATTTAGGAATCTTTGTGGGCCATTCAGACACTTAGTAGGCTTAGAAGGGCATATTCATTACAGTTAACTTTAGCTTAGGGAGGCTACTTTTCCATCTGTGTTTAATGGACAGAGAGAAGCCTTTCAGGGTGAGACTAAGAGCACTTAGGTCCATTTCCTGAAATTGTTAAGAATACCTGCAGACCCCACTGAAAATCATGTGCATTTCTTTCCAAAATAGTTTGTGCAAATTTTGCTTTTAGTCCCAAATTCCTCCATGTGTTGTATAATACAGCCACACAATTCTAACGACAACACCCTGGGCACTTCCCGTAGCCTTCCTTTCTCAAACAGATTCCAAAATTCCATTAAATTGTTCAATTTCTTTTGAAAATGATTTGGTAATTACTAAAATTCCAGGGCAATTTTATAAGGTATTAAAACATGTGTTTGACGGACACTGGCTATGGAATGGGTTTAAGTTGAGAAAAGAGGAAATTTACTTTAATTTGACATTTGATGTGAACGTTATAAAACAGGCAGGAAACAGTGTAAAGTCAAAATTCCAGAACCTGATTTCCACTACTTTAAATCCAGGAAAACTGAAGTGATTTCAAACACAAACATTTTCAAAACATTATCAACCTGCACCGCAGCGCTATTGCCCTCACAAAAGCCAGTTGCCCGCAGCGTGGGTACCTGAAGGACACAGCTCCAAATCTCAGAGGTTTTACGGGGTGCTTTTACTTATCTCACAGAACTGCTGCATGCCTTTGTACCTGATTTAACCTACAGGATTCAATTGCTCCCAATTCGCATTTCTTTTGCGAATATGGTCTTAAAAAAACAGCTGTATAAACTGTTTGCCTATATATTATACATAATTTTCAAAGTTACATAATTGACATTGTAAATGTTTTCTTTCTGCTTTGTTTTTACACAAAGTCTATGTCTTTTCTACTACACAGCATCCTTTGCTTAACTTCTAAATATATCACATTCAGGCTACTCTTCCTGTTCTGGAGTCAGCAGTATTTGTCAATACGTCTATCCCTAATCCCAGAGAGCAATATTTAGCATTAATTGCCAATTAGGCTGTGTTAGACTAAACTTTCCATGTTACAATACCATCGTCTACAGCCTGCATGTATAAGTGACACTAGGCTCAAACTTGTTTGAAATATGGCTCATGAGGTTCACTTTATAGTTTTGCTCTGCCTCCTTTTTTCTAAATGAGAAGACATTAACTTAACCTTCAAGCTTTACGACTGGCGAGGGAACACTTTACTAGTAATCTGAAAGAGCACCTTTGCAAGAAGTCGTGTTACGACCTGCCCTATGTCTTCCCTCCACTCCGGTATGTCAGGGTTGTACATGTCCAGGTGCTTAGTAAACTTCAGAGCGAGAACATGAAAATGATCTAGAAAAACAAAAATAAACATTTTTGAACAAGCAACAAATGAGGCTGCAAAAACAGTTTTGCAGAAATAAAAGCTGAAAATATTCGGCATTATTTGCTGTGCAGCACTGCAGTATCCAGGATCCCCCCTGCCCTGTGGTGTGTGCACAGAGCAAGAGTACACTCCGGTCAGGCACTTAATTTCTGTCTGTTTTTTTCATCAACATCAACAAATTTGTGCCTAAAGATAAAAAAGCAGGAAGAAAAACAATAAACAAAACAGATTTACAGACATGTTCTGGGGTCATAACCTTCCCAGTAACTTTTCCTTAGGACAATACACTACAGAGACATGGCTGGTTTCTTTTATTTGTAATGGGAAAGCACCAATGGATTTTATTCTCACTGAATCATAAACATGTGGGGTTTTGCCCATTACATGTTCCTGTTTTTCATGTAAAATGAATACTTTATATATTCCATCAACTAGCTATGAAAATAAGAACAGAAATGATATATCACAGGCTACCTACTGCCCTCTTCAAAAAAATAAAAACAAGGTATATCCACAACATTTCTCTGGATATTGTCCAAAATATCTGAAATACCAGAAATGGACTGTTCCTCAATAAACAGTCTCAAAAATCTTTGCTTTCTCCACCTAAGTTCCTTGGATAAACACCTGCGGAACTTAATGCAAAACAGAGAAAGAGATCCTCTGGAAAGCAGGAGTCAAACCCAGCCTCCCCAATGCTTCTGACAGAATTGTATTTTAATGTGGTTTTCTCTTCCAGAGATTTTATTTCCCCATGACCAGTACTTTCTTGCTCTTGGTGTCAGGACTGGCCAAGACTAAGAGCAGAAGCAGCATTTGAAAGCCAAAGTCATTGATCTCGTCACACTGTGAGGGGTTATACTTCTATAGATTTCTAAAAGAGTGAATGCACTTATAAGTGGTAGCATAGACATTAAATCCATTTATCTTAATTAAGGACAAGGTTCATAAAAGCTGCATTTAGCACAAGTGTGGGTTTAATAATTTTTTTTAACTAGTAAGTATACTAAAATAAAGAATAACAGAATCTTCTTCAGACAATGCAGATGTATCTTGTGCATTTCATGATATCTGAAGGCTTTTAGCTCATGCATTAAAGAGAAGCTTTTTCACTTATCACAATTCCCACACGTGACAGCACAGTTACAAATGTAAATAATTCATTGGCACTACATTTTTCACAGTATATTATGCCTTGTCGCACATTATAAGACACAACAAAACACACCAGGGCACAATGTGAAACAAGAGCTGAAGGGTTATTCAATAATTACAGCAAAGCTATACTTCTTCCAAACTCTCAGATAAAGATCAAAGGAACGGTGATATATTGTGATAAAAGGCAATTATTTCACATTGTTTTTAATGTTGGGCATATATACACAACTAGATTTTATTTATTTCAGAGGTATTTCAACTACTTTATTTATGAATGCTAAGAATTTCTGTAGTCAAAGGCCAAAATACCCCTTAAACACTATTGCTACATATAGCATTTGGTGACCACAGCAACCTTTAAAATAAGCAAAGGAAACAGAAGGTTTTAGATTAAATGCTTCTGTACACAATCACACTATTCAACTTCACGGAGTTACCTAGTGACAGTCCATCCCTCTAATATTAAGAATTAAATGCAACTTTGGAAACAATTTTACAACAGGTTCAGTTGTCTCAGGGCTGGTTTAAGAGGTACAAGAAACACAGCAAAATAATAAAAAAAAAAAGTCAAGAGTATTTTCTCACCAAAAACGTGGACAACTTTAGAGTCCTGAAGCATGGAGCTCCCACAGGAAGCCTGCACTGTAACTCTGACGTCACCTGTCTCAGCAAACTTTGTCACCAGAAAACTTTCCAATGTAAGGAGCGGCTTTCAAAAACAAAGAGAAGTTGAAAATAGAATTACAGTAAGAACCACAAGAACAGTGTCTGAAGAGACCGTCGCTCAAAATATTAGCAAAAAAGGTTTCACATGATTTATTCAATTAATCACCATTTTATCAAACAGCTCAATTACAATTTTCAATACAGGATGTTTCTTTCACTAAATGGAACATTTATAAACAGAGTAGCTTCCAGGTGGGCCAAACATTAATTTCAGAATAATTGGTAGAGGATTAGGTTTTCTTTCAGATCCAACTGAAATAAACGGATTGTGAGTCAGGCTCACAAATCTCTACAAGATCATATACAGCAAGCCATTTGCCTCAAAAAATGTGGGGTATAGTCAAGGTCAAAAGGATTGATTCTGTCAACTTAGAGCACAACCCATGGAAGGGCACCAGCCCACTGTAGCCTCCAAGGCGGAGCTGAGATACTCTGTTCCCTGACAACATCCGTATGAATTACAGAACCCTTCACAAGACTACATCAATCTGCAGTGCCTGTTCTAGCAGAGGCAAAGTCAATAATAATGAACAGATACAGGCTGGGATTATAGTAGACAGCACATTTAGAAGAAAGTTAATTGCGCTTATCTGAAGCATTCCTCTGTCATACTTAGTCTGCCTCATAAAGAAAATATTTTACTTATCTGTTACTGGAAGAATTACCTTAAAAGAAATTAATGCAGCTAGACAAGAAACATTCCCAATAGAAACAGTTGGATATTTATTGCTCTAGGATATGTTTATCTAGACTTTTTATCCCCAAATGAACAACACTAAATAGTTTGAGTGCTCTCACTATTTTGATATCCTTTTAGATATCCAAGTTATTTTTGATATGCTAGTTTATTTTAGACTCCCAGGAAATATTTATCTATACAATGAAAATATATATATATATAAACTTCTGCACAGCACTTAAATTTACAGGACTCGCCTTATGAACATGGGAGTGCATAAATCCAAGATAGATCATTCACCAATGCTATGATCCCATATGCATCCCCTTCTGCAATTTTTTATGAAATACAATAAATTGCTATTCCCCCCAAAAAGAAATTCATATTGAGAAATTTAGAAATTCAAACCAATTCTAGATGAGAAATTTCCACTTCCACATAAGTAGCAATAATGGGAAATTAACACCTTAAATGTACATGATAAAACAAGGGAAGTTAGATACTGCTTGCCACCAGATACAACTGGCTATTTACAATGAAAGATGGTCTAAAAGAAGTCATGCAACATTGCAGTATTTCTGTTAAAGTAAAAGGTGTCACTCAACCTTTACTGGAAAGAGGTTGAAAATAATCTCAATCAAAAGCATTCATGTACCTGAAGATTGTTTCCTATCCACCAGTAGAAGACTGTCAAATTAGGGTTCTTAGGCAGTATGATGGCTGTCAGATTCACCTCCTGGTTTCTCCCAACAACTGGAACCACTTCTAAATTTAAAGCCTGCAGCGGAGCTGAAGAAAGTTCCCAAAATATCACTGAATGAGAATCCATTAATTTATTAATGCCTCTTTCCCCCATAACCTCTCACTTGCACACCATAAGGTCCTGAACTTATTTTTCCCTCCCCCCTGCTTTTGCATCTGTGTTGAAAGGTGTCAGCATAATTAGAGGTACCTCATTTCAACACCACCACCACAAAAAACCAAAACCCCACAAACAAAATCCTAGAGCAATGTGATGGATCACCAAAGTGCACCTCTCTGATGCACTTTTTTTTGTGCATGTCCAATTCTAGAAAACATAAGCAAATATCCCAGTTAAAAAGTGGAAAAGGCAATCTCAGCTTTTTTTTTTTATTTAAGTAAGAAAAGATCAAATGAATAGAAATCTAAGAAATCTTAAACTGCTAGGGAAAAAGCAGAAAACTGAAAAAGAATTCTGCTGACTACTCATTTTCATTATAAAATATCAGCTGTTAGGCTCACACCACACATAAGCTCTCATTAATGCATGCTTTAAAATAGATGTGCATATCAGGGAAGCATTTATTTACAACTCAAAATAGATAACTGCTGTACTCCAGAATGTGCCTTTAGAATAAGTTTGTTCCTTTCCAAACTTTTGCCTATGAATGCTATAAACATTATTATTTTTATAAAATATATGCATCATTACAATGATATCTGCTGCTTAATGTTGTACTCTGCTTCATAGTACAACAACTTTATTGAAAGAAAAATCTTTCCCTCAGAGGTTTACAAGTATATCTTCTTCAGAATGTGTGAAGGTAAAAGTTTTCTAATCGTACAATGTGATAACCAGAATTTTTTAACTTCAGCTGCACCATCTATTCAGGATACCAAAGTGGTGTATGGTCCAATGGTGTATGCATTCGTTACACAGAATGAATACTAACCCACTCATTTTTGATTTATTCTAAATATCTTTTAACTCATTCAAAGGTCTTTCATCTCAGTTCAAACATAAAGGTAATTAACACCCATCCAAAGCCTTTCTCTTACTCTCTTTCATTAACTGCTTCATTGCCTGTCCACTTCTAATTCACTTTGACTAAAGTGATGGAACTTCTCTGAGAGCAAGTCATCTGCTCTGTGCCTGCCCTCCTTTTCCACCTCCCTTCAACCAGCCCGTGGGCTGCTTCATCCGAGTGTCAGGCTCCAAGGTCGGTCTGCGCTTTCTCCGATGACTCTTTAACCACCTACGTGAATTCAAGACATGCGGGGTGCTTAAACAAATGGCTTCTTCAACAGCTTCTTTACCGAAATAGAATTAAAATGCTCCTCCTGTTGCTGGTGTCTTGAGGCAAATTCAGAAATTGTAGGAATTCCATGAACTTTGTTCCTTCTAGAAACAGATTTTCCTTGTGATGAGGCAAACTAAAGAAGTCTGAAGGATCTGCGTCACTGTTTCAATTTTGCCATAAATTTATGTATTCCCAGAGAAAACTAATCATTTTCAGATATGGTTTTGCTTCTGAAGCAGGTTACTTTATTTTCCAAAATTTTTAGAAGGGAAGTTGTTTGGTACTTGAATGATGACCGTTATTTCAAGTTTGCCATTCCTGTGTATTAAAGAGCTAATAATAATTATTGCGAGTCCTTCTGCTTGTCTCAGTCACACAGTTCCATAACACAAATGAACAAGCTTCGTGGCACCCTTAAGTGCATACAATTAGGAATGAAGTTGACTTAGATGATTTCTGTTTAATGAAGCTGCAATTTCAGTCCAGTTTTCAAAGCTCCCTGATTATTCACAAGCAATAGAGACTACGGTTTCATGAAAAAGAAAACTTATGCCTAGTTCTTCTTCAGTTCTTTTTATTCTGTGTTGGTTACTCACATTTATATATCAGACTTGCTCTAATTTATCTTACAGTTCAGTAACAAGTTGTAGATTGTGTGATCTGGATCAGAAAGCATAATCTGGATGATGGGCCACAGTTCACATAATTGTCCTGCATTACAGGGCATCCCATAGCCACAGAACTTGGAAGGAGCGAAAAAAATTCCCTCTGTCACTCGTTCCTGAAAGAATTCCCTGGGAATACACCAGCTGGAGGCAAGAGTGAAAGCAGGACTCTACGGACGTTTCTGCTTTCATGGTATTCCACAGTGAAAAATGTCCATGAACAGCTACTAGTGTTTCTCCAGAATGCAGAAACAGCACTTTAATCAGTGCCAGCTAATTTCCTCAAATCGTGTAATTTACTTAAAAAATTACACAGAGTAAATTACATAGAAAACATTCATTCAAGTGGACTGGGTTATATACTCTCATGAGTCTTCTAGACCATGCGCAGCATCCACGGACCAACTCAGGAATGGACCACGTCTGCTTCAGCTCTGCTACCTCTGCACTTCGGCACCAAAGTCCTCTCGATGCACCAGTCATTTTATTTGCAAAAAATACCTCTGGCTTCTGCAGTGTGTAAATCCACTGCATAAAACACTACTGACACCTTTTATTTTTACTGTTTGTCCTGACGCAGGCCACACCAGAAGCACATTGGAGAAAGCGGTTGCTTTTCTTTCCGTCAGGGCTTGCTACTGCTTGTCATTCTCTGAATGGTAACAAGTTGTTCTCCCCGGAGAGCAGGAGGTTGGACAGTTTTTTGCTGTTCGTTGCTTGTACAGATTTACTGTTCCTGTGCTTAATCTACTCCTCAGCACCTAGAAGCTCCTAAAAAGTAACGATGAAGGCCTACGTAATTTACCTCATCTCTCTGCAGTTGTCAAATGATTTAAAAAACAAACATAACAAAGAAACAGATTATGAAACTTAAGGGGAGAATTCGATTCCGATCCTTTGCGTTTGATTTTATGAGGAGATTGGCCATTAGCATTAAGGGGTTGGGCTCCACCTGCTTAGCAAAGCAGAACTGGAAACTCTGGACTCAAGGTCACTGACTAGCAAAATACATAAATATCAGCAGGCACTAGGCAGGCTGACATCAAGCACCCGGATCCGTGCACAGCCTTCTATGTGGCTCCAGCGATTTCCATTGCTTTGGGATTAGGATGGTTGACAACACCACTGACAACCGAGGGAAACAGACACCTGGAGAATGCAAGATGAGTATCTTTTCTTTTGATGTTGCTTGTTCCTGAATTTTTGACACATCTGAAAACAGGCAAAGCAATAGCTGTCTTGAATCTCACAGGAAAAGGAAAATTCAGTTCCAGTTAAGACTTTCATTCTTCATTTCAATTATGAAATGACTGAGGTACATTAAGCTTGTGATGGTGCATGATATTCCTTGTACCATGCTATTCTTTTATTTTAAATCTATTTGATGGGGTTTTTTACTTCTTAATTAAGGAGCGGGAAAGAAGTCTAAGTCAAGTAATACTGCCTGCCAGTATGAAATTATACTCAAGTATCACTTTAAAACTTTGTGAGAATTAACTACCTAAAATCTAGATTCTAGTACTTTAATAAGTAGCTTGACTTTTAGAAACACTGAGATTTTATTTTTTAAATCATACAAGAGATCATATGTTTCTCAACACATCTGTTCACTTGCTTCACACAGTACCTAGAAGCTCCTAAAAAGGCATAGTTTGAAGTGTTAAATTTTAGCTGCTAAGAGGGCCAGTGGGGTCTAGAGTCAGGAAGATGGATCAAAGCTGAGATCTGAACTGAGGCACACTTGCTATTTAAAAGATTAATACACCATCTTTCTCCCAAATCCAAACAAAACTAACTCTGATCTCCTATTACAGTAGATTTACAAGCCATTAACAACATATGGGATCGCAAGACTGCGTGAGGTTATTGAAAAAATACGCATTTTTCCTAATTGGACTAGTAATTTTCTGTACTACTTCATAGTTGTAGTGAGGTTTTTACACAGCAGCAGAAGTAAGAAAACCGAAGAGCTGATTTACAGTTGACTTGGACGAACATCACAGCCTCGTCATGCCCAGCCACATTCTCAGCCTTCACCGAGACACGGTAAATCCCAGGATTCTCATAGCGGTGACGGATGGGTTCTCCAGTCATCGTAAGGTTCACATATATTGCCTTAAAGCCATCTCCAAGATCCACCTGATATTTGGTATTCAATAGATCACCCTAAAAGGAATAGATATAAAACATATTTTAAATGGGCAGGATGGAAATAGACAGGACACATGATTATAACCATTTCCTGAATCACAACAGCATTTCCAGCCCCAGCCAGATATTTTGACTCAGTGGCAATACACCACCACCACTACACCCACAGCAAAGATTTTACTGCAACAGATGTTGTGTGTGTTAATAGAGAATTTCCACAGTAAGGTGCTACCTTAAAATAAGACTCTGCAGGCTACTAACCAAGTTGTATGACACAGAAACCATCACTCTTATCTTAATGAAGCTGGACATGAACTAACAGAACAATGAAGGGCAGCCCCAAGTTCTGGAGTGATGCTCATTTGATTGCAAACAACTCAATATTGTTATTTCAGCGAATTACTACTCATCCAGTGAACTTCTAGCCTGTGCAATTATGAAGTAAAATTAATTGGTCTAGACCTCTTTCACAGTACCTTTTAACCACACCTTCCGAGGGTCAACCATATGGCCTTCAAGATCCAAGCTGGGATCTTTGCACAGAGTTGTACTGCATCATACAGAGCTACCAGCATGCCTAGAACTAACATGCTCCACTGCAAAATTAGGTGCGTGTTTGATAAAGCAGATTATTGAGCTGAGTTTGGCAAAGGGTTTAAAAGTCTAGCCAAATAATTATGTCATGTCAAATGTCTCACAGAATTTATAATTCATTGCACTTCTGCTAAGTGCTCCTTTAAATAACACTGTCTTCCTAAACTCGGGTGTAAAATACTGCAGGACTGATACTACTGACAGAGGACAAACATATGCCCACGACTCATGTCACGATGTGGTTGCTCAGGAGAGAATTCGGGCCTGTGCTACATGGTCTAGCGATGTGGATGGAGTCAAAGGAAAATTCATTTCAGTTGCGAGAAGCAACACTTTCTCTATACTGCTGGCAGCACTGCCTTAGCGAGCTGCCTGGCTTCCTTGGCCTTCAGCAATATGTTTCTGCTCGCTTGCCACAGAACACGGCCATCACAGTTCTGCAATTTAAACAGGTTGCAGGGCCAGGCTGAGTAGAAAATCCTCTGTGTTGTGAAAACACAGAGTTGGTTTAAAAATCTTCATTGTCTCTAGGAAAGGAATGTATACATCCATACGCTAGTCAGGTGACCTGAATGGCCATCAGGGCAGAGAAGGTTTAACACCCATCAAAGTATGCAAAAATCACTTCACTTCCCCATAAGCCACTCTGTGAATTAGGTCTATATCAAAATCTAATCCCAAAAGGCAGCACTAATGTAAAATCAAAGGAAGCAACAAAGCCTAGAACTTACGTACCCTGGCATTACAAAAGGGAGGAAAATATACCATTATTCCCTCCTTTTATTATTTTGCAGTTTGGTTGATTTTCTTCCATGTTTTACCAGATGAAAGAGCACTGCTTATAATGTAAAAGAATACCCACAATAAGGAACCTGTAGAGTTATCAAATACCTAAACACCGTATTTCAACACACATAAAGGACCTTGAAAGCTTCTTCACTGTGAATATTTTTTTCCAAATAACATCTTTCTTTTGACAACAGATGGGTAGAATTTAGCAGCGAAGATAATATGTTATTAAAGTTTAAAGCAAAAGAGATGTCTTCTTGCCAGCAATGTGCCAGTAAGCGGAATCTCCTTAAACGATATTAGCTTGCAAACAGTTCTTGTTCGTTCTTTCTTATGCTAACAAGCATACGCGCATATTTTTTGCAGGTGAGACAGAAACCAATGGTGAAAGCCAGTAGATGCAAGCTTCTCTTAATGTTTTATTCTAATAGCCTCCCTAGTGCAAAGACGAGAGTGCTGTCTTTGAAACTCCAAGGCACTTCTGTTTCCCTGACCAGCAAAGACACAGAGCAGTGGACAGACAGTAGAATAGTCACACAGGGAAAAGGCAGCTAAATTGTAAAGGACTTCCACACAAAATAGATTATTGTCATGACATTATTTATTCATACACTCAGCCAACAGAATTTGGGGAAAAAATAATTATGATTCTAAATTATTATTATTATTTCTACAGTCACTTGCAAATTGCCCAAACATACCCAAAGCCTGCTTTCTTTACCCCCTGATGTCTGGAATTCCTGCATGTAGTAACATGGATTCACATAAACTAGTAAATTAATTTTGTTCAGCAGAGAAAGCAGCATGTTTTGGTTTATGCTTGTAGAGCTGTTTCTTAAACTCAGGAATTGTTATGAATTCTTGTTAGACTTTGTTGTATAGATTAAATCCTAAGCAACGCTCAGGATATTTGAGTATAAATGTTATTCTTAGCCATAGGGGGCAGCAAACTGTTACATTTCTTCTAAATCTGCCTTGCAGCTCGACCTACCGAGCAAAGACTTCATCAGGAAACACAGTACAGGATTCCCTTCAAGATCCTGGACTTCTTAAGACTTTTGAATAGTTTAAATGTTTTACATATTGCCAGAAAGATTCGTGTAAGCTTCGGATTCTACATAGCCAGAAAAAAAATCAAACTGCCAATCAAAATCATTACAGTCCAAATTGCTACCAAATGCTCTAGTCTTACAATAAACACTTCCAAAAATTATAAAAAGAGGCAGCATAACTCGCCACACAACTGTTGCTGCACTGCAGGCACTGGGACGCAGAGCCTGTGAAGCGTTAAGGAGCCCCGTGTTCTGCACGTCACCTTCTTGATTCCATTACAGAAATAAATCCCAAGTGCCTGATTTATGTTGCACAGGTTTGCCAAAATGTGTGAATTTTCTTCAAGTTCTTGCAAATGAGTGGGGTTAGCCAGGAAGTCCAACACTCCGGTAACTTGAGCACAACAGTTAGAGCCTAATACTAGCAAGAAAGCGTTAAGAACGATCTCCATGTCAAACAATTCATCAGTTCATCCAAAAGTTACTCACTGCCATTGTTGAGGGCCTTAGGGCATTGCCTCTCTCAATAAACAGAAAAAAAAGCCATATCTTTGGCAACACAGCTAATATATAATAAATGTTCTAACGCTGTGCTGTTTGCTGATTTCTGTAAAGCTTCGCCTGATTCCTTTCCGAAAGGATTCTCAGTACCACTTAAACCAGAACATTAAATGTTCTCTGCATTTCTGTTCCTCTCTGATACAGCGGTTGAAATTTTCAGTCCAAGGAGACTTTGGTAATATAGTTCCTTCGATTTTCAAAGGAGCTATGCCTTTAAGGAATCATGACTGACCATGCTGCTGAGGAGTCAAATCCCAGTCTGTGGACAGAACTTTGTGGTTCACTAAGCTTACTGGACTGTCTGATTCACTTGAATACAGAAGCTTCAATATCTAGAGAGTCATTCATCTTTGTCTCAAGCACAACGTAATCTCATTCAGCAGCATAAAAGGTAGGAGAGAAAGGAACCATAAAAATAGTGAGGAAACTTTCAGAAAGCCAATGTTCATTACTACCTGCTCTTGTCTGACGATGAAGGTGATGTCTTCCCCAGGCTTAACAGCCAGACTTTCTTCTCCGATGCTGATCTGAAGTCCCCTGGGGGCAATCAATGGACACATATGCTGTGCCAAGTTCTGTTGCAGGTCTACACCACCTTCACACACATTAGAAACAACTTTCCTGTACCTGCAAAAACAGTAAGCAGCGAGCACAATGAACCGGAGGTGAGAGGGAGAATGCCATCAGAGGCACTGAATGCGAGTGTGATAGCAGCTAACAAATATTCCTTGGGTTCACAAACAGACAAGACTGCACATGATCCAAACCAACTCATGATGCAAATACTTTGATGACGGACATTGCCCTTACTGAGTAAAACCTGTTGAAGAAAGGGCGTGGAGCACAATGAGGATTTCACTGCCTGCATTGCAAGAGTCTGCCTTTTCAAGCTCAGAAACATGCCTGACAAGCCCTCCACAAGCTAGATAGTCTGCTGCTCTCTCTGCCATACCCTTTCCTAGCTTTCAACAGTCTTCATTGCTCTAGAGGCCTTGGTTCAAATCCCAAATATCAGGAAGAAATTAGATCAGGCAGCTTCTGCATTAACCCAGAACCAATTGCTTATCTGCTCCTCTCAAATCTATGCATTTCTTAAGACACTTAAAGCATTTATTTAACATAACAGTATCAAAGAGTGAAAAGCCTAACACTTTTGAAGAATTAATAACAAAAATCTTGGATGTGTATAGTAATTATTTACAGATCAGTTTCACTCAGGTATGTTATTTTTAAACATCCTTTAAAATTGGAGTCAGCTTTTGCTCTTTTGAATTCCTATTCTGTATATCACAGCTGTCAGCCACAACTCAAAAGGCATCATTTTCCTTGGTAAGGCAAATATACACAGAGACTGTGATTCTATTGCCAGATTTGACATTTCGTCATTTGGTTCTTATCCCCACAACTGACAGAGATGATGTTATGATAAGCCAGAATAGATGCCAGCTGCAAGTTATTCTCAGCACAGACGTCAGACTACATTGTAGTGTATATTCTATATGGCATTGTTTACAGTTACTAAAGCTTTCCTTTGATTCTGAGTGTCCCATATGGTCAGCAAGAGAATCTATTCTCCACAGAACTCCTTACTCCTATGGAAGTGAGAGACTGGGAAGTCCTGTGAGATGTTACTGGCTCCTCAGAGTAATTCATTGGCTTCAAACTGAAAGCTGGTCTGAACTCAAGCAACGGGCTAAAAAAAGAGCCTTTGAATGGACTTTTCTGTCAGAAGTGTAGCAACGGTTACAAAACCATTGAAACCACTTTTGTGGCCCTTGGTTGGAATCTTCTCTCCCACTCTGGAAGCCTCTGCAAGCCACTTGAACACAAAATCAGCTTACCCAGTGCTGCTGGTGTATGCCTGCCCCAGCACACAGTCTTCAGGAGGTGCTTCTGGGTTAAACCAAAAGTCAGCAAAGCATTTGCTCAACTCCGACTTCAATGGTGCAGAGCGCTCAAACCCGTAATCACTGAAAAACATCAACACTGAGGGTGTTACTATCCACACTTCATTCAGCAGTCTAATCTGGGATGGATGAGACTACTTTTTTAAGAGTAAAAAGAGCTTTTTAACATTATTCTACCAGCTGAACATACAAGTTGATGAAGCCAGTTCTGTTCTAATTTCAAAGGGAGTTGTGCACACCTGGGGGAAAAGCTGCTTGTAATTATTTTGTCTGTTCTGCAAAATTAACTCTCCTGGTAGCTTAGATTTTTAAAAGGTTTCCTTTGCCACTCAGACCAAAACATTTCTTCTGTGTTTTTTTGTTTTGGGGTTGTTTTTTTTTTTTGCTTAATTTGCAAATAGACAGGGTTTACTTGCTTTATAAATCAATCAAATGGTCATTTTTCACGTCTTGATCAATAGAGAAAAACATCAGGATTTGTTCAGTCAAGCGAAACAAACACTTAAAACATGGCAATGTTTTTAAACAACGGCAAATGCAAAAGCAACTTGTTGTTCAAAGTACAGGTTGTGTGTTTATGCAGGCTATGTGGGCAGAGGGGCAAAAGGAGGAAAATAAACCCAGCTCAAACTCTAAGTAACTATTTACTAGCAACAGATCAAAAGGTCCAAAGACAGACTCACCATAAGAAATCCGAGTTCACACACTCACAGACTTTGGATGTGAAAGCTGATGTGAAACTTCTCCCTTTAATGCACCACGATGAAATCTTCCTCTTCCGAAAGCTCCTCTGCTGGCCCATGATGCAACGATCACCCTGAACATCAAAGCACTGGACTTATTGCACGTGTAACCTACACCACACAGACGTGACCTTATGTTGTCATGAGGAAGGCTGGTCTTGCTGCCAAGGCTATAAACTTGTATCAACTCTTTCATATGCAAATGTATAGGTATACAGAGTTCTCATACCCACTGCCATCCACTAATGCGCCATTACAGAGTTGTAACATACACGATGTTTCAGGGCACAAATCCAAAGATGTACATGAAAATTTCAAGTGCAGTTTAACCCATGTTTCATGTTTGCACAATCCAGGCACAGCCCTACAATTGTCCATTTAAAAATTCAGCGTGGATGCACATGGCTGAAGGTCTATGTAAACCACTGTCTCGTGTCAGCAGTCAACACGAAGCATCAACCATGTGGACAAAGGTAGAATTAAGACTATCTGAACACACTCCACTGGTAACTGGGCAGCTGCAAGTACTCTGTCAAAGTCATTTTAGTAGTTTCCAATTCCTGAAAGCCATTTCAATGCCAATATCCCAATACACTGTTAACTTTTTAGGCTCAGATCTGCAAAACATTCCTTGTAAATACACAGCATTCCCAAGCAAGAAGTATAAAGGCTGCAAGCAGCCTCACAGTCACAGGCCCTGGTTCTCATGGGGGACTTCAACCACCCTGACATCAGCTGGGAAGACCATACAGCTAGGCAGGCGCAATCCAGGAGGTTCCTACAGAGCATCGATGATAACTTTCTGATGCAAGTGGTGGAGGAACCAACAAGGAAAGGCGCGCTGCTGGACCTTGTGTTAACAAACAAGGAGGGACTGGTGGAGGATGTGAAGGTTGGAGGTAGACTCGGCTGCAGTGACCATGAAATGGTCGAGTTCAGGATCCTGCGTGGAGGAAGCAGGGCGATAAGCAGGATCAAAACCCTGGACCTCAGGAGGGCTGACTTTGGCCTCTTCAAGGAGCTACTGGGAGGAATCCCGTGGGCCAGGGCTCTCGAAGGCAGGGGGGTCCATGAGTGCTGGTCGCTTTTTAAACAACACTTCTTCCATGCACAGGAGCAATGCATCCCCCTGAGAAAGAAATTTAGCAAAGGAGGCAGGAGACCTGCATGGTTAAACAAGGAGCTTCTAGCGGAGATCAGGCAGAAGAGAAAAGTCCATGGGATGTGGAAAGAGGGACAGGCCACTTGGGAAGAGTACAGAAACGTGGTGAGAGCATGCAGGGATGCGACGAGGAAGGCCAAGGCTCACCTGGAATTGAAGCTGGCAAGGGATGTCTTTAATCAATATGTTGTATAGAGAATGTAGCTTCCCAAAACTGGATTTGGCCAGAGACCCAGGATTAGCACAGCCCTAATGCATTACTGCAGAAATGACATTGCCCAAAACAACTGGACCTCATTACATGATCGGTCCACTGAGATCCTAAATTACTTCTGGAACGGGCTTTACTTATGGCAATTTATATATCAGTACGGTATGTGGTCAGGAAGTTGGCAGAACATATGACTACATGTTGAAATTGCTTCAATCAATGTTGCACATTTTAGTTTATGGTATATGTATCACAATCCAGCAGGACCACCTATTATTATGGCAGACCACCAGATACACTGCTGCCCTTCCCAGGACACAGATCACAGAGTCCAAAGGAACACAAAATCCTCCTCCGCTTTAAACTATTGTAAAATCAGCAAATACCAACATAGGGAGAACAAAGCTGGGGACGTAGCATCCAAATTCTGTTTCAAAACATTTTCCTAGCACACAGTTCTCCATGAATCTGAAACCTACGGAAAAGTTGTAGCTGTTAACATAAGACCATGAATACCTGTAGATTTGTGAGCTCCCAAGATTCATAGTCATCATCAGTGCACTCCCTGGGGAAGGACGGTCTGAAGTCCACCTTCACAAGTTCCCAGTCCGAACGGTAACTAATATGTCCAAAGACTCTGAACAAGAAGATCAAAAGTAAAATCTTGCTGGAAAGAAATACCATACATCTGAGATTCAAATTTTCAGTTCTGTCTTTTCCTTTCCATGGTCATGGTTCCCTACTGAAAAGTCCTCTTTTATTTATCTTTTATTCCGCTTTTATTTTTCTTCATATAAAACACGTCCAAGTTAGAAAACACTTGCCAATTGTGTCTATGGAACTCTACAATGAAACAAGATAGCTCATAGATAAGAGATTTTTTTCCCCCAGAAAACTACCCCAAAATTTAAATGGACCTGCACTACCTTTTCTAATTTGGAACCCAGTATTTTTGCCTATTATCTTGTTATATGAAATATTTTTTGACAGGGAGCTCAGATCAGGGAGCAGAGCTCAGAATCACCGGATTCAATTTCCAGCTCTGTTACTCGTTCCTTCTGATTATGGTGCAACTTCTACAGTTGTCTTTCTGGGTTTTTTTCTTAACTTCTACAGATTTCAGATGTCAATTTGCTATTGTTCAAACTCACAGCAGTATCGTAAAGTTGTATTCATTTCTAAGGAATATACTGAATCTACATACTGGGCTGAAAAACTCTCAGTCTCCTCTTCACTCCAGATAGTCCAAAGTAAAACAAAAGCCAGCCACAAACAGCAAATTTATTCTCGGAAAAAAACTGGAAATCTCATTGCTTTTAAAACCAAGCTGCACTTTCAAAGGAGCCAACATTTTCAAAGTCAGAATATTTATTTCAAAAACAAAATGGGTAAGTATGACATCCAGCAACAAATTAGAAAGGATAAAGACTCTATTTGGGTAAAAGTCAAATGTATTTGTGGTTTGTATCAAGCTTATGTGGCTTACTTGCCAAAGAATTTAAGGTTGATTCTGAAGCCAACAATTTCTGTGCAATTCATACTGCATAGAGGAGTTAATATTCCAGGCTTTAGTAGCATTCTTCAAACTAATTTACTCCTT